GTTGACTGGGACTACATTTTATCTCTCAATAGTGTAGATGACGTTGTACTGGCCTTAAATGAGAGGATACTTCTAATTTATGATTTATGCGCTCCGGTCGTGAGGAAGCGAGTTACGAAGAAAAAGGCTCCATGGAGAGACAAGAGTATTGCCGTTCTAACAAAAATAAAGAACAAATCAAGAAAGATTTTTATGAATCACAGGAACGGTGAATCAAGAGCGGAATATTGCAAAGCAAGAAATAGGCTCAATTTAGCTATAAGAAGGGCAAAAAAACGTTTTCTTGAAAGTCAAGTACAGGGTAAAGATCCTAAAAAGTTCTGGGCATCTCTGAAAGCCACTGGGGTGTTGGAGTCTGCCGATAATAAAGATTGTTCTTTTACACCTCAGGAACTTAATCGATATTTCTCTACAATGGGAACTAATAATGACAGTAATTGTTGTATTAGTGCGGACAAATTGAACTTTTCAATTGAGCTATAAGAAGGGCAAAAAAACGTTTTCTTGAAAGTCAAGTACAGGGTAAAGATCCTAAAAAGTTCTGGGCATCTCTGAAAGCCACTGGGGTGTTGGAGTCTGCCGATAATAAAGATTGTTCTTTTACACCTCAGGAACTTAATCGATATTTCTCTACAATGGGAACTAATAATGACAGTAATTGTTGTATTAGTGCGGACAAATTGAACTTTTATAACCAGAACAGTAGTAATGATGTGAAGAAGGGGTTCTCTTTCAAACCTGTGACTGAGGATATTATCAAGGCAGTCATGAACAACATCACCACCCGTGCCGTGGGAACGGATGGAATTTCTGTCGACATGATCAAGTCTTTGAGTCCGTACTGTGCCTCAGCTATTTGTCATTTAGTAAATCTGTCCTTGGTTACAGGATGTTTTCCTAATGTTTGGAAAAAAAGTATACTAATTCCTCTGGCAAAACAATCAAATCCTACTTCTGTTTCTCATTTCAGGCCCATTTCTATCCTCCCAGTGATGTCTAAGATATTAGAAAAGGTTGTTGTTGAGCAGTTGACATTTTTCTTGGAATCTGAGAATATTCTTCCTGAGACTCAGTCAGGCTTTCGTAAAGGTTTCAGTACGAGCTCTGCACTCTTGAATATCATGGATGAGCTGTTATCTGCTAAGGATAGGGGTTGGCAGAGTTTTGTCACAGGTTTGGATTATTCACAAGCCTTTGATTCGGTGGATTTTGATCTTTTGCTCTCTAAACTGCGGTTTTACCGATTTGATGTAACCTCTGTGGCCTGGGTTTCCTCTTACCTAAACAATAGGTCCCAACAGACTAAGGTTGATCTGAAAGCGTCAGACTTTTTGCCAAAGATTAGAGGTGTTCCGCAAGGTAGTTGTCTAGGGCCGATCCTTTTCTTGATTTACACTTCCGACCTTGGGAGTCAACTGAGGTATTGTGCTATTCATTCATATGCAGATGATACACATCTTATCGCTTCTTTTCCATCTTCGAATCTCCTTGACGCGATCAGGGATGTGAACTGTGATCTGAGTGTGGTTAAGCAATGGTCTGATGATCATGGGCTGCAACTAAATCCTGATAAGTGCTCAGTTTTGCATGTCAGTAATTCTTCTCTGCAAGGCAGACTGAATTCTAATAGGGGTAGTATGATGATTTCATTGGATAATATGCCTTTATCACTTTGTTCTTCGTTAAGAGTCCTTGGTGTCCATCTGGATGATACTCTTAAATTTTCTGAGCAGGTGAGCCGTATCTGTCGTGTTGCTGTTGGCAAGTTGAGACGGTTGCACAGGTTGAGGTTCATATTGCCTACTTCAGCAAAACTTCAAATAGTGCAAGCAGTGGTTTATCCATCTATTAGCTACTGCCTCTCTACCTTTTCTGGTTGCTTAACGAAAGAAAAAATCAAAATACTGACAAGGCTTCAGAATAATGCACTGAGGTTTGTTTATAATTTGAAGAAATTTGACCATATTAGTGAATTTAGATTGAAATCTCATACACTATCCATACAGCAAATCTCTGATCTCCAAACATCAATTTTGGTTCACAAGACGCTGCTGACAAACCAACCTCAGTATCTGAATACCAAGTTGGTACGAAGATCTGAGGTCTGTGGGCGCAGTACTCGTCAGGAAGGCTTGTTGCAGTTACCGCGGGTCAGAACTGAGTCGGGGAAAAAGGCCTTTTCCTACTTTGGACCCCTGGTTTACAATGCTCTACCATCAGGGGTAAAAGAAAAAGGATTAATGGTATTTAAGAAGAATGTTAAAGATATGCACCTTTAGTTTTATTTTTTAAGAATGTTTCTTTTTAATTTACTTGTATATGACAAAAGTTTGCATGTAAAACAGAACTTTGTATCTGATGTACGCTGGATAAATAAAGACGTTATTTATTTATTTTATTTATTTATTTATGTTTTTCTTTTTCTTCACAAGCATGGACCAACTGTTTTCATCTTTCTGTCTTTGCTCTCTTCTTCTCCCAACTTCCGTCCCCTTCTTTTTCTTCTTCTGTTACAGGACAACCCAAGGTGGACCATGCTGAGGGGTGGATGGCATCACGCCTCTTTTGTATGGTGTCTGAACGGTAGGCCTACCTGCAGGATACCAGGCGCCCTCCTGTAGTAAAAGGCCTTGGCATGCAGGGCTCTGTCAAGGTCGACTTCAGGTCCCTAGCTTGTCGTGGGAACGCATGCTAGTACCAAAAGTCATGGAAGGGGAAGTAAAATGCCCTGACCTTTAAAGAACTACCGGAAACCAAGAGAGAACCTGGTGGAAAGGACGATCCTTGTAGAGTGCTTAAGAGTAGACCTACTTATGGCTGACCGGAGCAGGAACCCGCTGGTACCTACGGGTCTTAAAACAGAACATGGAACCTGATGAAGCCAGCAAAAAAAGTGGATGAAAGGAAGGCATTAGCAGCGGAGAACAAACCGGCACCTAGAATAGAAAGGGAAAAAGGGGGACACGAGAGATTACCTCCCCCCCTCCTGAATAAGAACTGTTTGAGAATGTTAACTTGTTTTTTCTGGTTCTGGAAATCAATCCATGAAGATTGTAGGGTATGGATAAGTTATGTGACATCAATGCAAGAATAAGTTTCTGTGACTAAATTGCAACTTACCTTTCTTCTTCTTCATGTACCAACAACTGAGTTGAATAGTTTATTGCAGAAAGCCCATAGGCCTACACAAAATTTATTCGATTTTGCCTTATTTGTATATTAATGATGTACCGGTAGCCTAAGTTGCAAATTGAAATAAGTGCAGAAATCACAAAACAGTGAAAAAATGTTAGTTTAGGGGTTCATACTTAATTAAAGATTCTTGCTTCCTCCTGTGGTTTAGCTATAAAGTATTTTACATGTAGGCCTAAACCCCAAATAAACTTGGCCGGTAATTATTCCGTATAGGTGTCTCCAGACGAATTTTTAATTTTGATATCTTACTTTAAAGTTTTTTACCTCCTGAATCCAAATATACCATTATTTTTCACAGCTGATGAATATTTCTCAAGATATCGCCGTAATAATATACAACATTACAATAAACAAGGTAGGATGGATGACATTTACAAGTGGAATGAACTATGGGTTAAGTAAACCAACAGCTGATTGTTTTCAATCATAGTCAAGCAAATGGAAGTGACAACTTTAATTAGCCAACTCTGATTCTGCAATATGAAAATCACCTGATTAAGTTACACTTTTCACTTTCTAAGACCAATAAGTTAATAATGTATTATTGTTACCAGTTTTTTATTCTTATTAATGATATATTGATTTATATTTCGCCGTTTGGAAATTACATAATAAAATGGTGCTATTCTAACATAACCTAACCTAACCAAACCTCTAGAATGTGTAAGCAAACTCCTTTTGATGTCAGAAAAGGCATGTCAGGGTGATAGGTCGTGCTTTATGTGAATTGGTGACTGCATTAAGTGTTTTGAAGTTAGGTTAGATTAGGAAGGTAAAGTTTAGGTTATAATGTATCGAGTTGTTAGTTTATGTTGCCTGCAGACTGTTTTTGTAAAATTAAAATCCTGAGAAAAACACTTCAAATTACATTTTTTTTCAAAAATGCTTGCATTTTTGAAATAGTAATTTGAAGTGTTTTTTTAATAGTTTTTTTTCCTAATCTAACCTAACTTCAAAACACTTAATGCAGTCACCAATTCACATAAAGCATACAGCACGACCTACCACCCTGAAATGCCTAAATAAGAACTACATGTAATTAGTCCACCAGTCCATCTATATCTCCATAATGTGACAAAATTCCTATTATAGAGAACATTAAGTTATTTGACTACAGAATCACTTGAAATGTTATCCATCCTATCTTGTTTATTGTAATGTTAGGCTAAGTATGTTTTTATGGCGATATCTTGAGAAATATTCATCAGCGGTGAAAAATAATGGTAGGCCTAGGGCCTATAAGTTGTTTGGATTCAGGAGGTAAAAAACTATAAAGTAAGATATCAAAATTAAAAATTTGTTTGGAGGCACCTATACGGAATAAATACCACTTGGCCTAGTGTACACTTCCATCTTATCTGTTGGCACAAACATCGATCGATAGGCCTATATCGTATTCGATAGGCTTATATCGTTTAACTTAGTTAGGCTAGTTAGGTAGGGTTAACCTAACTAACCAAACAATATATCGAACTAAACAATTGAATAATCAATATTACTCATTCGGTTGTTTGTGCCAACAGATAACTTAGGCTTTAAGTGTACCTTTGGCTTATAGCCTAATAGACTAGAAGTGTGAACGTGAAGTAGGGAGAAAATCAAATCAAAAAAATAATTAGGAGAGCTTCAGCTTACAATGCTAAGTATATTAATTATTGTGGTTATAAAGCTATACAGTAAGAGAAATGTCTTAATAGGCCTAGGCTACTGGCAAACTAATCATAATGGTTTTTTTTTTTTGCAAGTTAATGAGGAAACCTTGGTATAGCAACACCCTGACCCTATTGTTTTACTCTTAAGTTTACCTTGTTATTTTTGTAAAAGGCTTTAACTAAACTGCACTGCACAAATAAACAAAAGAGGTTAGCTTCAATGCTCCACTCCTAAGCCTTGCTCCTAGGTAGGTAGTGTAGGTATAGAACAGCAAGACAGCAACAGAGAACAGAGATAGACAGAGAACACCTCCACGCACGATTTTATAGTAAACATTAAACAAACACAACACAACAGCAAGCAAAACAAAACAGTAGGAGTAGGCCTACCTAGTTTCTAGTTTCTTAGTTTGAAGTTATTTGGGTTTTTTTCTGTTGTGCATATGTTAGTTACGGACACACCAGAGGGCAGGCAGAGACCACTGATAGTAGTAGCATAGATAAATCGGTACTTTCCTGTTAAAGGGAACATTCATTATTATCGATGATTTCTGTTCGATATATCGATATTTTTGTTTTACTTCACGATTGGTATTCCTTCTGTTTTAATATCATCCTTCAAACGCATTTAAATTACAAATTAAGAACTAACCTTGTTTAGGCAAAAATAATAGCCTATATATTGGATTAGGATATGAAACTATTCTAAACTAACCTAACATAACTAACCAAACTTGCTGTATAGGCTAAGTTACCGTTTCAAAATTCCATTTCATAACGGAAAATGCATATGGGGAATAGGCTATCAAACGGAATTTTGAAATGTTACAGCAAGTTTGGTTGGTTAGGTTAGTTTAGAACAGTTTCTTTTCAATATAATATTTTTTTAAATTGTTTGTTGATACTGAACAATATTTATTTACTGTATCCTATATCGTACTTATCAGCTGTTATGTTTCAATTTGTTACTATCAATATATCGGATGGAAAACAAAAATATCGATATATCGAACAGAAATCATCGATAATAATGAATGTTCCCTTTAACAGGAAAGTACCGATAAATCATACTCCCCATTGTAAATTTTGAAGCTTGTTTTTCATGTCCAGTTCATGTACGTCCACACTGATCGCTGGGGTAGACAACATTTGCTTATATTATTTTAGGGTTATTTTAATGATTTGTGCTTTACTATTTGGTTATATAACTAGGGGACCAGTTATTCTTTATGATTAAATCGTTTTATATGATTAAATGAGGTTTTAAATGACTGAAATAACAAGAAACAAATTGTAAACAAAACATAACCTCTACAGTTGGACGTACATAACAAACAATAAAATTGGCTTCAGCTGTTCCATAAATCTACTAAGGGAGTAGGCCTTGGAAGGAGAAAACATAGATGTGCTATTAATTCCCGTCATATTCTGACGTCACTTGGATTGCAAACAAGAGATCACCTGATTTTAACTGTCAAATTAGTATATGTATTTGTTTTGATGAGGTTGTTATTGTTTTTATAATGTGTGTTTGGCAAGTGGTTTGGCCACTGAGCTAAAATTATAACTGGAGGTAGCACTGCCATGGCAGAAGTCTGTCAAAAGCGAGTCGCTGATTTTGTTAGGTTGGTATAGCAGTAAGTTTTCTTACCATAGCAATAACATGGCTTCTTATAACTAGGTTGGTATAGCAGTGAGTATTTTTGTCATACTTGAATACTTTTAATACTTTAATAATTTTCTTTGAAATGGCGACCATACAAAGTAGGTATTTTAAGCCAAGTATAATAATAGTTATAGCAATAATATGGCTTCTTATGACACCAGACTCACGCAAACATGGCGGCTGGCGACACGCATCTTTGACATTCAGTGCTACCTCCAGTTAGAATTATAGCTCAGTGGGTTTGGCACTTAATTTTGAAATTTCTTCTTTGACTGTTGGGGTTCGACTGTCCCTGTGAATTACTTCGTTATTGACGAACCATGGTGCATGGAGAATGTTTCTTAGAACTTTAGATTGGAATCTTTGGATGATGTTCAGATTGGATTCACTGGATGTCCCCCACAGTTGGATACCGTACGTTCACACTGGTTTTAGAATGGTTTTATATAAAAGCAATTTATTTTCTGTTGTTAATTTAGAATTTTGATTTAATAGCCAAGAAAGATTTTTAAATTTAACAAAATTCTCTTGTTCCAGATGTGGCTTTTCCAAGTGAGTCTTCTATCAAGGGTCCAGCCCAAGTATTTAACCTCATTGCACTGTGGGATTTGAAAGTTGTTTAGGGTAACTGGAGGACACGTGTCTAATCTTGTTGTTAAAGGTTGTATGGACCGATTTACTCTCATTTACTTTGATCCCCCATTTTTTAGCCAATCGGAGATATCATCGAGTCCAGTCTGCAAAATTTGTGAAGCTATAACAGGGGCTCCGTGTTTAGCCCGGACGTGTTTGACGCGGACACCCTCAAAATGGTGGTGCGCGCGGACGGACGCTTTAGAAATCCCCGCGCCAAGGCCGGTTGGGTAATTCTTCACCTTTCGCCCCCATTATCGAGTAAGGACGCTCGGTGGCTTTTCCCTCACAACAGAAAGATTTATAATTATCGTAACCAGAACTGGCCCGTAGCTACCAGTGGGAGAAAAAACTTTTATTTATTATTAATTCCATTCGGATTTGAAAAATGAAACATTATTATTATAAGACCTGTATAATTGCAAGCACGTTGCAATGTGCAACGGAATCTATACTATTATAAATTATAAATATTGGTTCTAGTAATCACTTTAAATTTAACAATAAAATTTAAAAAAATTGAAAGTAAAGCCTTTAAATTTTAGTATTACATCAAATATTGCACATGCTTATGAACAATGAACCATGTCTCATGTCTCATGAAGCATGTCCCATAACAATTTACTTGATAATGATTACTAGGTGTATATTTTACAATCAAAATTTAAACTTCACTTTTAGTCCTGAACCACGGATGGGAACAAGACTGTTTCATGATTCTCAGCCTGTATTTTATATACTGCTTTACTGCGGTTCCGGATTCTTTTAATTATGACACATCTATATACTGTATATTAACTAGGTGGCGTTTGCAGAGGCATTTACAAAATTGAGCGGATTCATCAGGGTTCCATATAGTATATTATTATTGACCTTCACCATTGAGCTTCATAATTATTTTTACCAACAATTTTAAGTGAAGGAAGAGAACGTTTGTGTAAAGATAGGTATTGGTGTAATTAGATACACGTTGTTCGTAATGAAGGGGAGTAAAAAACACAGATAGAGATGTAATTTTAGACATTTTCGGAGACCTGAATTTACATATTAATTAAAAACCCTCAGGATTGGTCATGAACTTATTTTAAAACAGAGCGGTACAGTTCTATCTAGCTATAACCTAGAAATAAATCCTTAACAGTTTCGGATTCCACCATTTTGGCTACTAATTACAGCATAAGAGGACATGATGGTGAGTATATCAGCGAAACCACGAAATATATACGAAAAATATCGTTAAAAAAGTTATATTGACATTCACATTTGCATTGATTCAAGCGTCTAAACCATAACCCATGTGTTCCACGTTAATAATTGTATAAGCACGGAACTGGGCTATAATGCCGTTATTTTAAATACAAAATTAATGTAGGTTAAGATAAGGTTTCCGTCATAAATATGACATATTTAAGTAAATAAAATATACATGTTGATCTTTAGCTTATGTTTTTTATTTTCATACCTACTAATAATTATTGTTGCGGCACGTGATGCGCCAATGTTTTGGTAATAATACAAACTAACACTTTCAACTAAACTATGATTTTATTGATGTAGATATGATATAAGCAAATTATATCAGTGGACTGTATAGTGAAACTGTAATAAATTAATTTCTATAACGAAACTACTAAATGTGGATTAAGAGTCATAATTTAAGACTAATGAAATACGTGAGATGCTGAAAGAAAACAATGTTACTCGGCTGACACGACAATCAGTAGGCTACTGATCACATAGACCACAGACCACATAGGACTACTACCCCACGGTCCTAGATAGAAAAGGAGTTTTTGTGACCGTATTTGTTCTTTACGCAGAAGGACGGTCTCAACTGCTTTGTTAAGAAGCCGACTAATTGCCCTAGCAGAACGAATGAGTGGTTTATGCGATCGTAAACAACTCTAGATGTTTGACAATATTTGAAATTTAGAAACGTAACTATCTCCTAACAGCATAAATATAAATATACCCAACAGATTAATTAAATACACTCTCCCCAACAATGATTGTTTCAAGCAAAAAATACTCATAAATAAAAATGTTTGAACGAACAGTATACAAGTATTTGACAAAAATCGTTTACACCATCTTTAATTTTGGACTTCAGAGACTCCGATTTCTTTACACCGTTTCACTAGTAAATGCACACAACTTTCTTAGGGTTGTCTTACGGATTTACTCGACTATATTCAAATCTTTGAATTATGTTTCAATTGTTTACTTATTAGTTCAGTATATTTTGAATACACAGAAATTTATGTTGATGACTAATGCTGTGAATACAATTCAGTGACATAAGAACCAAAAATCTATGTAAATATTACCCCCGCCACAACAAACCTGCAGACTTTGCAGAATTTCCATTTACCGGGTTCGATTTTTACTAAAATATTAATAAAAAATTGTAAGCTCTACAAAATGGCTTGGAGGGAAATTATAAAACTTTGTGTTTTTAAGGTCAAACATAGGAAAAATCAATTTTCACCCCGTAAAACACCCTATCAAAACGAAAAAGTAAATCGGTCCTGGATCTAGTCTTACCATGAGACTTACTGTAATTGCTATATGGAATATATGGGAAATTCGCTAAAATTAGAGTTTTGTCTGTACATGGCTTAGAATGATAAATGTTTCGGATAGTTTCATCGTATGGAACGAGTCATACGATAGGAAAGCAGAAACGCGTGCTTACTCAATTTCTGCCTGTCTGTCTGTGACGCACAATATCTTATTTTATGCTCTCTTCGACGGGAAAACGAACAAACTGATCACGATAAAACTATTTTGATGTATTCTCTACAAGCTTGAGAAGGATTTTAATTACTTGAAACGTGCCTATGTCCATTGGAAATAAAAAACACGAACACTCAAAACCCCAGTTTTGCGCGTAAGGCTCATTTTGTTCTAGGTGAAACCATTGACTAACCAACCACTAGTAGACTAAATTATCCCATTGTAAATTTTGAAGCTCGTCTTTCGTATGTTCGGCGACACTGCGTGCGTTAGTGTCGACGGATTTTTTTATTATTTTAGGGTTAATTTAAGGATTTGTGCTTTACTGTTTGGTTATGCACCGGCTTCAGCTGTTCCATACGGGATGAGAAATCTACTAGGGGAGTATGTTTGATCTATGGC